TCGACACGCCGTGTGCATACGTCCCGAAGTTTTCTCCAATCAGGGTTTCGAGGACGGTGGAGTCAAGACTGGTTTTAGATGCCAACACGTGGGCTTCGCTGAGGAGAAGCATGAGACCTGCGGTTATGAAATTGCTTGTTGTTTTCAGCAGAAGTGCTTGAGATGGTTCTTCACCCACTCTGATCACCGCGCGCGCGATTACGTTTTCGAGAAAGGGCAGGATGGGGGTGATGGCAGATGGAGGCCCCGCAATGGCCATCAGCAGTCGTCCGGCTTGGGCGAGGGGCGTGGCGCCGAAGACGGGGGCGGCGATGTAGGATGCGCCGGAGGAAGTGAACTGGGCTGTTATGGCTGATGTAGTGGTGGGGTGGACGGTTGTTGTGTCGATTATGGTTTTGGTGGTTAGGGGGCCGCCTGATAGGATGGTGGATGTGATGGTTTGGAGGGCTTTGTCGTCGCTTACCTTTGAGTTATCAGTTCGATATCTTTACGCTGGGTATTTGATGGAGAATGACTCACGGAAATGAATATCACGTCGCAGTTTTGAACCAATTCTGCGATTGATGAACAGGGCGTGCCTCCGATGTCTTTTAGGCTGTCACCTCGTGAGAGAGTTCGGTTCCAGTACTTGAGTGGTGGTAAATTGTGCTGTGCAAGATGTTTTTGAATGTGGGTCGCCATGGCTAGACCCATTGATCCTAGGCCTATCCATCCCAGGCGGAGAGGTTGTTGTGTGGACATTTTGACCGAGTGTAGGAAGACGTATTTCGAGATGGGTTGTAAGACTACTGATCTGAATGCTACACTTATCCCCAAGGTGAGGTGACTCAACTTACAGATGTAGGTATGAGTATACATGCACACGAATCGAGTATGCAGTACACTAGTGTGTATTAGGCAAGCGACTATCTGATATAACCGGATATTCCAGGAAGAGTGTGGTTGCGGACAAATCTTACAGCTTTGCACTATCTTAGTATACCAGAGTAGGGATACCTTGTGTAAGGCCAGCAAAAGTAGAACTACTAAACGATCAGCTACATTGCGCGCCATCAGTGTAGCTTGTAACAAGAGCTCAATATCGAATGGTATAATTCCTTGTATTTTGTCAATAATGTAAATAATACAAGTGATGCACGGAGGACCCCAAACTCCTGGCTATGCTGATGATCGTAGATGAAAATGAACCAATCTCCAGTAGTTCTTCTCGTACATCTCGCGACCAAACCGTGAAGGCAATCCACCACATCCTATTTCCCTCACGTTTGCTGTTGAATCCAATCCGAGACTCTAGAGGACGAGTGCCGCAATAGCACTGTCTTCAGAGGCAACGTATCTCCAGAAGTCTACTCTTCGTCCTCATCATCGTCAACCACACGTCTCCGCTTCGTCCGGCTAACAACCACCTCGTCGTCATCGTCATCGTCAGCAGCAACACCACCCCGTGCTCGCTTGGGACTCGCCGCAATACCCTCATCTGGATCATCGTCGTCGTCCACGATCTCCGGTTCCTCGTCACTAGCGGCGATAAAGTCATCCTCCTCGTCGTAGTCGTCTTCGCGATTCCTCCTTGGGCCACCGTAGTCCTCGTCGTCACTCCAGTCACGCCGTAAGCCACCCTTCTGCGCATTCTTCTTCCGAGCCGGGCGGTCTTCCAATCCGTCAATGTCAAGACCTCCTGATGCGCGACCGCCGGTGCGGCCCATGGTGCGGTTTGCACGCTCTGCCTGGCGCGCTTCGTGCTTCTCGCGGGCGCGCAATTGCCTCTGCTTCTCCTTGAATGTGGCCTCTTCCCGTTGTCGACGGAGCTCGGGGTCTTCGTCCACGTTGATGAAGGATATGGCCTGGTCGGCATCGTCTCGGCCCTTTGCTGCGACCTTGGCAAGGTCGTTTTGCAGCTTTTCCAGCGCAGCGTCCTTTGTGTTCGATGTGGGTACGACGTTGAGGGATGCCGTGAGCTTGTTCGTGACGCGCATAACGTTCGCTTCCTCGTACGGCGCAACCAGGTATGTGTAGCTCTCCTTCTTCGCGCTTGTCTTGCCATTCTTCTCGTCTCTGACAGCCGTTGGCGTGGGAATCTTGGGGTTGACTTGCGGTGGGGCAAGGGTATTCGCGTCGATGTCGTACTGGGTTGTAGGGTCGGTCGCAAGCTGAAGGGTTAGGGACCCGTCTGACCACCTGAGAATCCGAGCATTGGACTGTAGGACGGCGTTATTCGAGGGTGAGCGTCGCCATCTGACCGTGGTCATGGCGGTGTTGTAGGCTGAGAAGTGCTCAGACGCGGTGAGCTTGGAGTGGTGGTCTGTAGTCGGCGGCTGGAAGGTCTTGTGATCGAACGCTTTGTCTTCGAAGGATAAGAAGCGCGGGACCTTCAAGAGGTAAAGCTCGTTGTCGGTGGGCTCGGGAACGGGATGCCGCGCCAGGTCGGCGTCCATGTATGCAAATGTCTGTTGCTCGACCTCCTCCACAGCTTCGGGTGCTCTGACGCGATCTGCCCGTCCCTCATCGTCGCCGGAATCGAGCTCTGCATCATCAAGTTTTCGGTGCTCACTAAACACGTCAGTCTAACACTGGGACTGAATTCTTCGCGACCTACGCTGGCGCATCTTCACCTGCATCCCCGTCTCCGTCGCCAAACAGGTCATCTTCATCATCCTCGAGACCGTTGTCCTCCACAGTATTTAGTGGCGTGCCCTCGTCGGCATTCCCAGCAGGAGTTGTCTGGCCATTGACTTCTTCGTCGGAGAGCTGGCCCGCGTCGGACATGGTCGCGGTTGGTGGTTTGCTGGTGCCTCTGTTGGTATCGTATCCAGACTCTTCAAGACAGCGACGCGACCGTAGACCTAGAGTTGCGAGTAAATTGACGTGATAGATGCGGTAAAGGTACGCGCACCGATTGATGGCCGCGATGAACAAAGTTGCGACCAGTAACCCATGAGAATCGCGCTATCCCAATCCAGCCTAGCGTGCCGCCCCTTCTCGATGCAGCCCTTAGGAGAGTGGGCCCAAAAAGCGTGCCCGCTCGAGACGTATCACCAACATCCTCCCCCTCAATCCTCTTGCATACCTTCATAAGCCGGCCTCTCTAGGTGCATTGGACGTATCCGCCCCGTACCCCCCACACTAAATTCCACGAATCCGCAAATCATGGCCTCTTTTTTCGCAAACGTGTAAGTTGCTTGGCACATGCTCCCCTTCCTCAAATGCTCGCGCCTCCCACCCCCAGTCCACGGCCTGAAACATTCAGGCATTTGCTGCATGTCGTCTCACGATTTCACTTTCTGATATGCACCACTTTTCGGCATCTCTCTGCCGTCTTATCGTGTTATAACTTGCGTCCGTCGGAGCCTGAAGTTGTCTTTTCCTCATTCTAACAACTTCACCGATAGTCGCCAAGGATTGGCTGGTCGATCCAACAAGGGCCAACAGCAGCAGGGCAAAGGTGGCTCCGCGTCGCCAACCACTCCATACTCGGCTTCACCAACAAACCAACAACCTCCAGGCCAACCGCCTATGCCCCATTCTCCAGCTCTTTCCTCTGCCATGTCGTTCGAAAGCCAAGGTGCTCCGTCGGATGGGTCCGTGCCGTCTGGCTCCCGCAGACCGCCTTTCTTCTTCCGCGAAGAGTACTCCAACTTGATCGTCAAGGGTAACTTTATGACTTTGGCTGCGAAGCCGAAGCTAGTCGAAGAGGGCGAATGGCTCGCACATCAAGGTAGGTTTACACTTTTCAATGCCCCGATATCGCTAAGCATGTGACTAGTTGTCGAGCAGTACAGGCTACTCGAGCAAATGATTGAAATCATCAAGGTAACAGACGACCGGACAGGCAAGCCTGTCTGCAACCCAGATACCTGCCCTACCATGTCTGCCAGCGGTCACACATACACCTGGCTGGACAACAACAAGAAGCCCATCAAGATCCCCGCAATCCAGTACATCAACCTCGTACAAAAGTGGATCGTGGGCAAGATCAATGACCCCAACATCTTCCCCACAGACACCACAGCCATCTCTATCGGAGCATCAACCTACGCTTCTGGTTCCATGACACCAACCTCAACGCCACAGCCTCTCGGCCCAACCAGTTCCAATGCCCCAATGTCCCAACTCGCCGGGCGCGAGTGGCTCGGCAGGTCGTCTGGCTTCCCTGAGACTTTCGAGGGCGACATCAAGAGTATCTACCGCCAGATGATGCGATGCTACGCACACATCTACCACGGCCACTGGCTGGACCCGTTCTGGAACGTGAGTGCGTACAAGGAGCTCAACACGTGCTTCATCCATTTCATCAACGTCGGCAAGCTGTTCAACTTGATCGGCGACAAGGAAATCGAGCCCATGCAGCCGCTGGTCGACCTCTGGGCTGAGAAGGGTCTTCTTCCGCCAATCACGGCAGCCAAGGAGGCAGGTGGGCAGCAGGCTGCACCCGCGTCTTGAGCGACAAGAGTATTCCACTTAAGTAACGAAATGGGCGCCATTTGACATGGAACACCACATCAGCAAGCTATCAACATTTATCGCCTTGCATGGGTAGCGTGAGGGGTCTGGGAGGGGATGATTGGCGTTCTGGCATGTATTACGATTTGCGCAATGTAGCCATACATGTGAATAGAGCAATGAACAGTTCTGAACAACTTCTCGGGTCACCACACACATGCAGTCAAAACAGCAGCTAGTAAGAAGAGACTCAAATTTGATAGTACCACGTAAAGTAACCAGAGAACTGATTTCCCAACGATCCCAGAAACGAAATGTCATAGTACTTCACACAAACTCCAATGGCGAAAAGAGAAGAGAAACCATGTGTCTCCGCTCCACCATCCGATCTGACATTTGACACCGATGCAAATACATTTCATGGGTCCGTGGTTTTGTAGAGATGCGTCATGGCTGGGCTCTGCCACAACGATGGGGCGTGCGTTCGTTATAAGAGGTCTGTGCTAGCAGACGGTTGGCATTTTCGTGACTCGCTATGTGACGGTTCGCGCTCGCCAAACCTAGTTGTGACCGGCCTTGCGGAGAGAGTTGCTCAACCACTCGAGACCCTCGTAGAGACCGTCGCCGGAGGTAGCGCAAGTCGACTGGATGTACTGCAGGGGGTTAGCTGACAGGCGTTTGAAGCAGGGGGGACCCGGAACATACCCAGGCACGTTGTCGGAGGCTGTGAAGACCAAGCTTGTCGGTGATCTCAGCGGCGTTCATGGCGTTCTGACGCATTGTTAGTCGTTTGGACATTTGTGTTCACGGCTCTTAAACCTACAGGCAAATCCTGCTTGTTGGCAAAGACAAGGAGGAGAGCGTCCCGCAGCTCGTCCTCGTTCAACATGCGCTGGAGCTCCTCACGCGCCTCAACAACACGGTCGCGATCGTTGCTGTCAACGACGAAGATGATACCCTGGGTGTTCTGGAAGTAATGCCTCCACAGAGGACGGATCTTGTCCTGACCGCCGACATCCCACACGGTGAACTGAATGTTCTTGTACTCGACGGTCTCGACGTTGAAACCTGTAGGTCGAAGAATCAGCGCATTGTTCTGATTGAGATCATGCTGCACATCGCGACGTACCGATGGTGGGGATAGTGGTGACGATTTCACCGAGCTTGAGCTTGTAGAGAATGGTGGTCTTTCCGGCAGCGTCAAGACCGACCATGAGAATGCGCATCTCCTTCTTTCCCCATAGCTTATCGAACAGCTTCGAAAATGTGAGACCCATGATTGCGGTGGGTGTGTGTGGTAGTGTAGGGCGGGTGAGTTGGGAGGCGGTGTATAGACTCTCGAACCTGCGACACTAGTTGTCAGAAGAGGGTTGAGGAGAGTATCGTGGCCTTATCGGCTGGTATTGAGCACGGTGACGGGAGTCGCATGGCTGGCGCAGCAATGCTGAGCGCCCGTTGCGGAGTCGACTCGAGGCCACGAGGGAGCTGGCCAGGCGCCGGCTACGGGTTGGGCAAAGCAAACGCAGAAAAAACAATGCAGCAGCGATTGACTTACGGACGGGTTCAAGAGAGTCGGTGGTATTCGGGGATGGGGCGGGTGGATGTGATGTACTCTAAACGATGCACAGGAAGGGCTGCGTTGAAGAGATGTGGTGGAAAGCGCGGCGAAGTCTGGGCACTGTTCGTAAGCTGGCAAGTGCCACTGACACGTGACAAGGGCGGCGATCGCTTATCGTCGTTTTGTTGAAGGAGTTGCGGTGAGAGGCTTCTTGCTTTCAGCTATTCCTTTACTTGGAACGCTTCTTATGGTCGCTACTAAGAACTTGACACGTTTTGGCTCTCCTGAAGGCCGGATGTGGAACCCCAAGGCACCCATTTATGTTCGGTTGGGCGATCAGCTGCCCCGGGATTGCGTGAGCTCCAGACCCACACCTATCCGCACTACTGACTGGGCAACCGCTGTATACTGACGTCTGACCAACGCGACGTGTAGTTCGTGAGATATTCTGGGTCGCATTGATCAATGCGCATGCCATTGTCTTTCAGGGTATCGAGGGACGCGGACCACCCAGAACACCTTGAAGTCTAGCAACGGGACGGATGGTTCAACCGCATCAGTAAGTCGAGGCACATTCTCCTGGTTTAGGCATCACTATTTCCAAGAGGACAACATCACATCACCGAATGGACACATGGATATTGCAAGGCAGGTAGCATTGACATTGATGTCGTATCAGCTAATCTCGCCGTATCCTCGTCACTCGCATCCGCCTTCTGCTCCGGTCGTTCATCTAGCTTGTCGCTCGAGTACCTCGACTACCCTGACTCCATCCGCGAACCTAGACCTCGGTGGCCATGGCTCCAGCAGCCCGGATGATAGTGCGGAAGCACAGCGAGACGCTTGCAATCCAAAGTCCGCTGCGAACAAGCGTAGGCGCCTGAGTCGAAGTGGTGATGTAGGCGGCAGTGTAGGCGACCCTGACAGCTAGGAACGAAGCGCTGAACGAAGCGAGCTCGCCCTGCGGCAGGCCAGCCATGTTACCGAGGATGACGGCGCCCATGAAGAGAGGAAGGTTCTGTTACTGTTAGTTCGACGGACGTTACAACAAGAGTCGATCAAATCTCACCTCCATCCCGTTGGCGTGACAGGCCTCCATACGTTCGTACTTGGCGTAGGTCTCAGCAGGCAGGCGCTTCTTGAGCTCGGCCTTCATGTCGTTGGAGCGTGGGCTTCGGTTGTCCCACTCGAGGAGATTGCCTCGAGTAGCGACACTCACAGCGAGAGCGTGAGGCAGGAACGAGACTGAATATGGAGGAGCTAGGTCAAACTACTGATCGAACATCATCTCTCAAGGACAGCATGTACATACGGATGAGGTAGGCTGGAATCGCCAAGACCGAGGCGTTGTAGCCGTCGAGGAAGGAAGGCATGTTGTTCTTGCAAGTGTCTGGCTGTTGTTAAGGTGTCGTGTGTTGGTAGAGGAAGAAGGAAGCTCTGTTGTGAGCGAAGAGCTTTATTCGTCCTGTGGGGCTGTATTCCGCTGTGACTGCCTTAAGGAGTGAGTACCCCAGGTGAAGTGAGAGTGACTAGCACGGGTGCTCTTTCCTCGCGAGGACATGTTCTACGGCCCGTGGTGACACCGCTACGTGAATGTGGAAGTCACGCAGTCACGGACAACAGCGCTGCACCTCCAGGGCTCTTACAACGAAAAGATCGAAAAGGCCTGCAGCCTACATTAACATAGAAACATGCAAACCAGATAACCTAAGGCCTACGCTCCAAGGTCCTTCAGCTTTCTCCATGAATGAGGTGGCCAGGTCAGCTCGTGGAGACATTGCGCACTCAACCTCAGGTGTCTACAGGGCCACAGGGTGTACGAAAAAGACCCTGCAAGGGTCTCAGGAACTATGGAGGAGGCAAGCGAATTGATCCTTGGTATTCGGTAGGCTACCTCTACACCTCGCTGACTGTCACTGCGGGGCGGGATGTATGCCCCACCTCCAGGGCTGTCACCATAGGCATCGTCCCCTCAGTACATTTTCCCCTCCACGCTACACCTTCATCTAGCGATTACATCCGTGCTTAATACATTGCGCAAACACACGATACGTTACGATCGTCCGGAAAGACCACCTCAACGATACCAACCCTTGTTCATCCGATCAATATGGACGTCGCGAAAAATGCTTCTCGAGAAGTTTGTGCTGTCTGTTGGGGAGTTTGCGGATTCGCATCAAGCAGAGAGAACCTTGAGATGGCCAAAAGTCAAGAGGGTCTCACTTCATTTTGTCAGGCGCGGGACTTACTTGCAGCTTCAGCCCAATGTGAAATGTGTGACTATCTGTTCAATCACGCCAAACTGGACACCAGTCGTTTCGACCTAGATGCAGGAATCGCCATCAACATACGGTTTTTTAAGTTCGGGGAAGCGAAGAGGTTGAATAGTCCTGTCGTTGTCGATAATATAAGGATTTCTACGAAGGTAGAGGGGAAAGATTCACGTTATTTCGCCTACCCGGACTGGTCGCGAGAATTGGGGTTCATTACATGGTCGGTTCTAGCTCACCGTGGTTCGTATCCCGCCCGTAACCATGACTTAGCATCAACTGACGTTGTTTGTGATGTTCAGATGATCCTGCGGCAGCAGAGATTAAATTTTCTCCAGTCAATCACGACGTCAGCTCTAGCACCAAGCAAGCGATATTATGGATTGAAGAGTGCAAGCAGCTTCACAAGCACTGTCCCGAACCCGCTATTCCTCTTCTACCAACAAGAGTTTTGGATGTCAGTGAACAAGCTATTCGACTGCATATTTCTAACGGCGAACGGTGCCATTACTGTGCTCTAAGCTATTGCTGGGGTGGTCCACAACCGGTACGGACGTTGGCCGAAAACATAGGAAGCCACAGAACCGGCATCCAAGTCTCAGCTCTACCACAAACTATACAGGACGCAGCATTTTACACGCGGAAATTGGGGGTCAAGTATTTGTGGATTGATTCGCTCTGTATCGTGCAGGACAGCGTAGATGACAAGCGTCAAGAAATTGCGAGGATGGCAAGCATTTATCAAAATGCATTTGTCACCATTGCAGCTACGAACGCATCAAGATGTGTAGACGGTTTTCTTTCGAAAAGACGCAGACCGAGTTATGAAACTTTTGTCGGAGATCTTCCCTGGAGCTGTCTCGATGGTAAGCTTGGGAAGGTGTCCTTGCATCGTCAGTTTTCCCAAAAACCACGCGAGGAGCCACTCGACGGAAGAGCATGGGCTCTGCAAGAATATCTCCTTTCACCACGCGTACTATCTTTCTCCTCACAACAGCTAGTGTGGGAGTGCCAGACCGTCAGATACACCGATGGAGGAGACCCTGAGTCACAGGGACTGGATGATATGGGCAAAAGCAGAGCACAACCGTCTTTATTCTCGCCCTTGACAGCTGCGATGGTTTCCATCTCTCCGCGCTGTGGATCCGCGCATCAAGTATGGAGAAGCGTAGTGAAAAACTTTACCCGACGGGAGATCACGGAAGAAAGCGACAAGCTTCTGGCGATCTCCGGTATTGCCCAGCAACTCCATCTCATTACAGGAGACAGATATCTAGCTGGGTTGTGGGAAGCATTTCTGATGTTCGAGTTGATGTGGTCCCACGACTCATCGTGCGAGATTGCCCAAGGCTCTCAACCCGCTAGACGACCCGAGACATATCGTGCGCCATCATGGTCATGGGCTTCTATTGACGGAGCCATCGAATTCTCAGGTTTACCGACTATCGGGAAGCTAGTAGCAGAAGTCATACAATGTGAGGTCCTCTTGGCAAACTCGAGCAAGCCATTTGGGACTGTCATTGATGGTCGTTTGATAATACGAGGACCCTTACGTTCGCTGGAAGTAAATGAAGTTCTCCAGTACTTCGATCTAGGCCCTACCGACTTTATAGAGGTAAGAATGCCCAGGATAATACTAGACGGGGACGAAGTTTTGCCATCTTCAAGTGCAGTCTCGCTGCCCGATAGCATTCAAGGGGAAGGCCAAATCGATCAGCGTATATGGTTCCTAGAGTTGGCTCGCTGGCGCGAATACCCTATCGGCCTTGTTCTTCGCCAGTCTTACCAGAAAGATCGTCGATTATTCCATCGCATTGGCTGGTTTGATATCAGGTCGCCAGACTTCTATGCAAGACGGTGGACCGGTCACGACACCCCTATAGAAACAATCACGATAGTTTGAAGGAGATTAAAAGCCACTCCAGCTAGAAGGTATGGAAGGATATGCGAATGCCAACACACGCTACATATTCCAAACTCCGAGACTCCCGAAGACTGCTCCGTGTGCGTACTATGAGATGGCTACATGTCAATGATCACTCCTTCAGCAAAGCTTTCAATTCCTTCTAGAGATCGGCAGGTGGCAGAGTATCTTCACACCTATAACGCACCAGACAGCCTGTGGGCCCACCAACGCACTCCTGATACGGCTCACATTCTGCGCACGGCGGGTCGAAAGCCCTACAATACTCTGGGTCGGTACAATCAACGCCCCGACAATCTGTAGCCTGCGGCCTCAACCCCGTCTTGTCCTTTGGCTTCGAAACCCTCGTGCTCGGATCGAGAGGGACAACGAAGTCAGGAACGGTCAACAGTTGAGTTTCATCCGTGACTGCACGTCCGTCGACGCCGGCCCATGTATCGCGCTGATCAGGGTACTTCCAGGCGACGAATTCTTCGACGTGATGGGCGGAGAGTTGAATGTAGTCCACTACTTCGGTACGAGCGACGTTGAGTCGGCGCAGAACTCCGTCATATCCTAGCACACGGACGCCATCGTCACTTTTAAGCATCATGAGGGCATCTCTGAGGGACTGAGCATGTCTATTAGTATCGATTATTTGCGCTGTATGTTTCGTGCAGACATACCATTGCGTCGTCATATTCAGCAGGGAGGCTTCGGATTCTTCCCACGAGCAGAAATGTCGCCGTTGCAGATAGGGCAGTTGAGAGCTTCATGATAGCAGCAGACGATACAGTGTTGTTAATGGATACGATGTAGAACTCTGGCTCAATAGATTGTGTAGTTCAACATTGACGAAAGTCCATGTTTTATAATCTTAAGCTTCACTCGTCGAGGTGCTTGAGAATCAGCGCATCCATGCTACATACGTCGGCATCATCGTCATTGTTGGCAATCCGAACGGTCTGAGTAAGCGAAAACGGGGCGTTAATATAAAGTCACGTACACTGCGTCTCGCTTCTTGCTCTTCCCCTCTTCCCATCGACTGTGCCACGCCCAGGCAGCTCTACGCAGCAACGGACCCCCAATCACCAAGTACTCACCGTAAGCACTCCTTCTTCACTCCCTTGACATACTTGATCGCTAACACAGCCTATATTGTCTCTCAGCCTAAATTGCCTCATTTTAGGATTGAACAGCAGATCGCGCATCATGTCGACACCACGTCCGGAGGTGCGACCAGATCAAGAAGTAGCGGGGAAGCACGAAGCCGATCCTGCCTTTTCAAGTCAAGAAGAGCCACAAGCTGCAGAGCATGACGATGTTACTTCAGACAGTGCTGCCCCAGCTGACATAGAGGGTCAGCCAAGTGCAACGGATGAGCTCCGCGAGGTACTCAAATTGTTGAAGAGACCACCGCACGGAAATCACACCCGAGGTCTCTGCAACGACGGCCTTGTCAGATATATGGTCTGGTTGCCAACACCAGACGATGAAGTAACTCGCCAAGGCGTATATGATGCCCAGCCGTTATCTCCTAGGATGATCAAGCGGTGGCTTGACCGGAAGCCATGGAGCCAGGCAGTCGAGGATCGCTTCCGCGGGGTAGACGGGCGAAATGTTCCCAAAGAGTAAGCCGTACCTGGGTATCTCCATGCAGTATGCATTTTATTCAGTTTTGCTGATCGTCAATGTTGTGTAGACAATGGTTAAATCCGCCTCCGGGGGTGTTGCCGTTCCCGGGAACGCTTAATGAGCGCATGGCTGCGGTCAAGCAGAACCAGTTAGAACGGAAGGAACAACAGAAGGAACTCGAAGAGAAGATTGCGCGTGGAGAGATTGATAAGTCTGCCCTTGAAAAGCATTGTACAAGCTGGGACGTGATAAGTGACTATAATCTTGATCCACGCTAGGGTGGTTGATGAGCTCAGCATCAGTTTCTACTTGGGTGAAGAAGTTCGGGTGCTACAAGTTGTGCGCAGAATAGCAAAATCTACCATGAAGTCGTTCGTTCAAATATTCGCTCAGAGATCCAGGCCTGACGATAGTGTGTTTTCAAACAAGTTTAGGATGTAAATACGATTCGTTCAGAACTTACTTCCAGTGAGCCGACCCCTCAAACATCCAATAAGTTGTAGTCGTACCTAGGTAGTCTCGAATGGAGACGCGCATAACGACAGTCGGAACGAATGTCTCGTAG